AGTATAAAAGAGCATCCTGAAGTCAGAAAACAAGGGTTTACTTGCTGGCTGTGTTGCTTTCTGCTTTGTGCAAGTTACTTAACATTCCTAAACCTATTTCCTGAGGTCTTAGTAAATGTGCTAAAGGATTGGGTCAAAAGGGCCTTATTGCACCACCTCAGATGCACCAATTTCAACCATTGCTTCTTTCTCAGATATATTGAGTCCTAGCTTGGTGGGGTTTGGGAGTAGGTGGTGTGTCTCATCTGTGCCTCTCAGGCACTAGCACCAGCCAAGCAGTGCCCCCCGCCCCAGAGATCTGGGTTCCAGCATTTTGGGACCTCTCCACCAAGTTTGTAAGTTCTAATAGCCCCAACTTCTTCCTTGTTTCCCTATCCCTAGGGGGAGTGTACAGAAGAGAATCAGGCCTTTCTGCTATCCTTCCCAAGATCTGCTTTACAAGGTTGGCTCTAGGCTGGCATTTGGAAAATTGGATTTTAGGTGGGTTCCCACCATCCCCAAAACTGATAAGACTGTCTCACTGTGTCTAAACAGTGCAAGCAATATGGTTTATGCTGAACATCAGCTTTCCTTCTGGAGTCTGGAATTTGGGTACGTGCCAGGTAGAGGGTGCTTATGTGATCAGCCCCAAATGAAAACCTTGGGCAGAGTCTCTAATGAGCCTCTTTGGTTGGCAATATTTTACACATGTCAGAATTTGTCAGAAGAATTAAGTATGTCCTACATGATTCTGTGACTTCACTGGAAAAGGACCCTTGAAGTTTGCACCTGGCTTCTCCCAGACATCTCATATGCTCTTTTTCTACTTACTAATTTTTGCTTTGTATCCTCTCACTGTAATAAATCATAACTGTGAGTACAACTAACTATTGGGTTGTTGGAAAAGTCATGATGCATTTTTGCAATGAAAAACACAGAAAAAATATATCATGACTTTTCCGACAACCCAATATATGTTGAGTCCTGTGAGTCCTCTTAGCAAATCATTGAACCTACCAGTGGTCTTGGAAACACAGGGTAGTACCCATTTCTTGCAGTTACTATTACTTTCTTATCCACTTTTTGTCACCTTAGTTCTCCAATCCCTGTTTAACAATATCCTTATATTAAATTTTCTGTTTAAAATAACTGGTATAGTTTTCCTGACTGGTCCCTGATTTACAAAGCCAGTCAGTAAGCGCAACCTGTCTAGTTAGTCCTCTTTGATGGTCTGATTTTTATCAGAAACTAACATCTGTAATAGCATTAATCTCTTGTAACTCAGTTCCTGATTCAGTCAAGGAAGGTGTTCTTTCAACCAAATATTTCACGAAGATAATCCCTGTATGAAATCATTGAGCATGCTAGGAAGATTATTTTATTGATCAAAAAGGTGACAGTAATGAGTTTACATGAACTTAAAAACTTGCTTTATTTCAGAAAAAAATATGTGATATTTTTAGGTAAAGGTCCTGTTCTGTGGTTAAAATTCATCCTATACTGTTTTGACTGGAGGATTGATTAAAAACAGTATTAGCACAAAATCATAGCCATCACTATTTACCTGAAGCCTTTCAGGTTCTGTTCAATTTATATTCAGGGTCAAAGTATCATTCTAAGTAGAAGTCAATCAGAAAGATTTCATTTGGGAAGAGTAAATGAAAGGCCATATAAATATATATGAAATCTGTAATTTTAAACATCCACAAAAATTAGATATAATACTATTATAAATTCTCCATGTACCCATCATCCAGCTCAATAATTATCAACTAATGATCAATTAATTTTGTTTCATTCACTTTATTCCTTCATCCCCACTGGATTACTTAAAAGCAAATCAAAGACATCATTTCACCTGTAAAATCTTCAGTATGAATCTCTACTGAAGTAGAGATAGATTTCAGTCGAATTTGCCAGTCTTGTGTGTCTTGTATGTCTTTTTCTATTTGCTCAAAACAAAATCTAAATAATGCCTCTTAAATATTTTAAATCTACAATAGTACTCCCTCCCCTTCTTCCTTCTTGACATTTATTTGCTTAAGGAATTGGATAATCTGCCTTATAGAATTTCTCACATTCTGTATTTGGCAGATTGTATCCCTTTGGTGCCATTTAACATTTTCTTTTATTCCCTATGCAAACTAGCATATCTAAAAGCTTGACGAGATTCAGATTCAATTATTTTTGCAAGAATATTTAATGTCGGGCCGGCCGAGTGGCGCGATGGTTAAGAACTGGTTTGGGACGCCAGAGCGCCCTGGTTCGGATCCCACATATGAGGGC